TGATCTACACACCCTTTCAAGCCTAAACCCTACAGCCCTCAAAGTTCCCAAATCTCAACCTTGAAGTTCTCCATTGTCAACCTTGGCAAGACGCGAGCAGCCCGGGACAGTCTTAACGCCAGGGGTGTAGGGCATAGGGCCAAAATGTCTCAGAGACGTGAACCCATCTTGAGGGATTGATGAAGGAAGCCGTTGAGTATGAGTACCCTGATTCGGGCACCAAAACTAAACGCCTCTCAAACCCTAAACCCTACCCTATCCAGCACAACCTTTTCTTGTGGAGTCCTGAGTTCCATCCTTTGGTGTATATTTAGGACCTTACAAAACTCTAGGTTATGATGGGTATGAAGGCACACCCTCAACCTAAACGGCCTCTCGCGGGACCTTTTGAACCCGAAACCCTACCACGCTAAGCCTGAAACAAGTCTCCAGCGACCGTGTAAACCCTATAGCCCTTAATAAGCCTAAACCCCAAAACACCCCCATTCCCAGCCATAACCCCAAAGCTGCAGAGAGTTTCTCAAAAGGGCCGACGATGCACGTGAACTTCCCGCCGGAGCTGGACCCAAGTCGATTCCGGGGACATGCGGTGCTCATTCCGGCCGGACCAGAGGATGGATCCAGGCATCGAAGTGTTCCCTTGAAGATCTTTAAGTCTTCCATTGAAAGAAGAGTTTTTGCAAGGTAGCCTGAGGGTTCTATTGGGCTTCATAGGGTTTGAGACTATAGGTTCTTGGGTTGAAACGCACGTGTAGGAATTGGAGTCGAAGGTTACTTTCATTGCCATAAACCCGTTTGTTTCGGGGTGCCAATACTCAAAGCGTACGTATGTTGGTATGGATCCCCAACATCGGATTAGCATTGGCAATTGGGACAGATAAAGTATAAGGATGTGGGGTTCCTCTTCAAGGGTTTGGGGGCTGGAAGCATGAAGACGAGTCAGCTGAATGAGTTGTGGTGTTTAGGAATTACCTTGCATGTCGTCTCCCGATGTGGCAGCTTGACCGTGTCGGAAACAGACGGTGCAGCTTGAGTCGCTGTGGGCGTGTCACCAGTGGAGTGTGCAGAAAACCCGACCCGGTAGATGCATCTCCCGCAGACCTCGGCATCTCAAGAATTACAGTACTTGCAACAATACATCTAAGCACAGGCAAGGTCCAATGTGGGATTTCCAGACATGCAGTACATACCCAGGATCCTACATTGTGTTATTTCAGGAACCTTGTATAAACATAGTGGTATACGACTGCAAAGTGTTGCCGGTTCCACGAGCTGCCAGGCACGAGCCACCTCCACCGGTGATCTTCGTGGAAGGCCTGGCAGTCTTTATAGGGCTTCATCTCAAAGTCGAATCTCGCAAGCCTTGAATCCGAAACGGCATTCCACCCTGCAATCCCTAGGCCCGCAATCCTGAGCCTTCAAGCCTTACGTCCCGAGCAGTCCGCGATTCCGTGATCCATCGAGACTTTGTGGGCTACCGCAGTCACGACGTTGAGGTTGAGGTTTGAACCCACACTCCTCCCGATATTAGTCGTGACAGCATTCCCAGGATCCGCGCTTCCATGAACCTTTGTTGTTTACACGTGACGTCAACACTATACGGGCTCTCAAGAGACCGACCGGGAATGGATTCGGCAAGTCCCTGCTGCTGAATCCCTGAGCTGCATCAGGAAGGAACCCGAGTTGCACAGTTCCTGGCTGCCCTAGGCGGTTGTGAGAAACAAGTCCTCGAAGCTGCCGCAAACGCATCGGGTTCATGGGCACCGCTGCACATGCAACAGCCTTGAGGTCGGTTGATGTAATGCAGCATCTGGAAAGGGGAGAGCTTGCCTGCATCCGGATGATGCTGACGACGAGGACGAAGAAATGCATGTAAGCAAGATAGCTGCTAAGCAGTCTATATGACTAGTAAATCTTGTAACAAGGATGCTAAGGAGCCCTCTATAGTACAAATCCGGGTTCCATGGCCTTAACCCTAAACCCGCACGGGGCTCTCCGGTCAGGCGATTTCCTGGGCCTTGGCCCCGAGCAAGCCAAGGCATTAGTCCCCTTCGAGGCCGCACCGGGGAAGGGATGGAATCTGGGGCTCAGGGGATTGAATTTTATCGGGTTCCATAATAAGGCCAGGGTTTGATGTGGTTGTATACAGGACGGAATTTAGGGTTAAGGGGCTTTATCGGGTACTTTAATCAGGACTTGATGTGGCTGTATACAGTTTATACGGATTTATTAGGGTGTTAGAAGGGTCTAGCACTTCGGGCATAGGGCTTAGTGCTTCGGGTTCAGGTATAGATTTCGGTACCAGGGTACAGAAGGGTTTCTGGGTTGGGCTTTCAGCTGCTTGGGGTTAGCCGCAGTTGGGATGTGGGATGCCGCTGACTAGGTTCTTATCACTGCGGTGTTTGAAGCTCTATGTCGAGCCCTTGATGATCTGTTGCATCAGGAGATCCGGAGGGGTCGCATGTGACGGTTAAAGTAATTGGAGTTTCGTTGATAGACATTGAATACTGCGTTCTGTTAAAGGAGGTTCAGAGGTCTTCTGGGCTTTGCATTCCTTTCCTGTTCCTCCCCAGTTTCGACTTTGTTGCTGGGGTACCTTATTTGGGGGTCCTGATAATAAAGATCCTACTATTTAGGGTACTATATTAGGGTCTTGGCCTCACCAGGCGGCTTTCGATCGTGGTGGCTTCGTGGCCGTGGAGCCGAGTGACAGACAGCTCTACGCTGACACGCCGCTCGGTCTCTATATATGATATGGGAGTTTCCGAAACTTTTCCCCCAAAACGGGACCCTAACATAGTAGCCTAAGTAGTAGGATCCTTATTTTAAGGACCCCGGAATAAGGTACCCCTAATTTTCTGAAACTCCCACATGCCAGTGATACGAGCAGGTGCCTAGTAAGACCTCACGACTAAAGTCTACAGCAAATTATGTTTTCCGGATGCGGTACATATATTGTATTTGCTGTTTGCAAAGGGACGTAGTGCTGATCGCGATATCGGTATATGCTCTACGAACTCGTCTTTGGGGGTGTGTGGCGAATAGGCTTGGTCTTGTCATAACCCATACCCCTGAAGCCCTTTCTGTGACCCCACAAGGGCTCTACTCTTTCACTTGCACAACGCGCATCCAGGTTGGGTCATTTGATGGCTCCGGGCGGGCGCATCTTGCTCGTGGCTGTGGAGCATGACGGCTTTGCCGGCGGAAAGCGCGGCCCTCCTTACCAGGCAACGGGGGGGTGTTCCAGGACATCCTGGTGGCGGTACTGTCCTTTGTCATACTTACTCGTAGGTGCCGGTGTTGGGATGCAGGTTGAGAGGGGGGCACAGGGCCAAGACAGACGCCGCAGGTCACAGCCGACGAAATGTGCTGCTCTCAGTTCCTGGAGAACGGTTGGGCATGCAGGGTATGGATTTGGAGCTTGGGATGCAGGGTCTGAGGTTTCTGCGAATCCGTGTGGCGTGATCCAAGTAGGATGTGAAGCCATGTAGAATGTAAAAGCGAGTGTGAACCGAAGCAAACAATCTCACCGTGTAGCTGTTGAAATCCCTTCAATAAAAAGGTTGAAATCCGGAACATCCTTCCCACAGCTCCGAATTCCTCCACCTTTTCAGCTCTAAGCCCTAAGCCCCTAGGCAGCTGCACTTCGGTGGCCGCTTCGCGGTGAAGCGCCTGGGAGGCGCTGAGGCCTTGGACGAAGCGCTGAGGGCGCGGGGCGCCACTCGTAACTTGGACGAAGCCTCGGACTTTCCATAGACGGTAACTATGTAAGATCACAGGAGAGCTGTATGACAATGTGAATTTTCCACGGAGGTGCAGTTTGACACGAATAAGAAGGGAACAGAAATATTGACAATAATATAGTGTAACTTCGGCTATAAGATTTAGGATTTAGGTGTTTCAAAGCCTCGGTGTGCAGCGGTGTCAAGCTCGGTGTGCAGTGGTGTCTTCAGCACAGGCACAGGGTCAGAACCTCAGGCCTGGTGGAAGCTGGTAAGAGCCCAAAGGCATCCAAAACCCGAACCTTCCTTAAACCTTACACCCTAAAGCTTAAACCCTCGCCCCGAAACCTTTTACCCTGTAAAAGATGCAGTAAGCCTTAAACCGCGAAGCCGAAAGCCTGGCCTCGACCAAGCAGCGGGGCCTTGATTGGAGGTTCATGGATAGTTATAAGCAGGGCTATAAGTTGGGTAACTATGCTTCTATAACCCACATTAGGGGACTTGTAATGCCATTAACTACCCATGAACCTCCAAGTAATGGCAGTTGTTCACAAGGGCCCGGGCACTCCGACATCCTAAGCAATAAAGCCAACTGAAGCAAAAGCTCCCCAGTCAGATGGGGAGGCAGGGAGTTATCCACCCGAGGCTTCAGGGAGTCCGTGTACTTGCTCACGAAGAAATGACACTGGGAGATCGGCCGTCGGAAAAAGCTACCCAAAACCGCAGGCTTTAGGGCATCGCACCGTACTACCGGTGACGCTGGAAAGATGGTGTTTGTTATGACTCATGACTTATGATCTCATATTCCGTGGGGTTTGCTTCTGTGTCTGCATGCAGGATTGACAGCACCAAGCGTATCAGTTCTTGCGACATTGCATGTTTTGCGACCTCTCCTGTTGTTTAGTGTCACCGATGGAGCAACGGTGGATGGTGTACTCTAAGGGCCACCGAAACGGATTCGAGCCTTTCCTGGAAGATGAACCCAATCGGCAACAGCACAACTACAGAGGCCGCAAGTGGTTGCGGCAGCAGTAATCATGGGTAGCCCACGTATCTACAGTGTGATCCGGACAGCCAGAGACCGACAAGGCCCTTGCCGGACTCCCTGCATTCGCCAAACGAAGCAGCCGTATTAATTGCACAGCAACTTAATTCAACTGCGCTCTCTCCGTACATCATTCCCATTATATAAATATTCTACAGCCCGAGCTCAAGACTTAAACAGATTGCACACTTTGGAGCCCGAACTCAAAACTTGGGGACAACAGCAGCGGCCAGGCGCAGTGTAGCGAACTGATGCCCTGCAGAGCAGGGCTTACCTGGGGAGGCCCTGCTCCAGGGGCTTAGGGCTTGTGGCCTTAGGGTTTGGGGTACTTAGAACTATTTTTAAGTTTTTGGTTATTATAATCCCTAAGACACAGCTAAAATTACAATTTTGCTAGGGTTCTAAGTTCAGTATAGTTAGGGTTTGGATGTTATCCTACATGGGCAGGCTCATTTTTGATCAAGTCATCCCGATGGGAAGTTTAGGGCTTAGGGGCTTAGGGTTTAGCGTAGGAGTGTAGGGGCCTAAATCTTCACTGCCTACACTGCTGGATATCTTGTTTTGCTACGGCCCTGGCATGTGTTAGTATAACATCCGCGTTGCCCTGAGTTGATCTGGTCTATCTGTTTCTGTCACATGAATTACCAGTGCATTACCTTCCGCAACCAGGGGAGAGGAGTATGAGACTAGCCGAAAAAGATAACGATCGCAAGCATCAGATGGATATTGGACCAATGCTTCCTCTACTATCGCGCTCCTTGTCACCTAGTCTGCATAGCGAGGGTGTGGCGAAGCCCAACATGTTATCTCGCATCATGCCTAGATGTTTAGGAAAACCACAACACAGCAGCCGGCTTCTGTGCCACAGAACCTGACCAAGACACTGGTATTGTTGTCCCACGACCGGTACGCCGAACACGAGAAGCTGCAGATTCTGCAACGATTCGTTCGAGTGCAGACCCTGTCTGCCTGGAGTTTGTGTTACGAGTCCCAGGCCCGGTGCAACTACGATTGATGATATAAGTCCTTGCATTACCTTAATGACCCTAAACTATGGGAATTATGGTATATTCCTTATTAGGTAATGCAGGATTTATATCATCAACCGTATCAAGACCCCTTGTCAGACAGGGGCGTTTCCGACAAAAAAGGGTACCTTATTTGGGGTCCTTACGAAAATGTGCGCAAAAAATGGCATTCGTTTCAAGTTCTTGTCTGCCAGCTCCTGACACAGTGGATGACGCTGAACAGGGATAAAGATCAATATGAGCCCTTTGTGCCGTGCAGTATCGACACCCCTGCCAGATGCTTTGGTCCAGCCAGTCCTCGCAACAACAATCTGGCGCAAAAAGTTTTTAGAAATATTCCCCTGCTTTCTCTCAAATGGCAAAGACCTGGCACATCACATGCCATGCAAAGGTGGGGAGGAACTCGGGAAGATTTCAATTCCCTTTTCTCCTTCTGGAGCATGTGGTCTGTTGCTGATGTCCTTGGCCGTGTACCTGTCTCCTGCTGGTCGCAAGCTTTCGCACTCTTTGTCGCTTCTGGTGGCGATGCTTCCCCGTTCGCTGCCTGTGGCCAGTATGTAGGCATGAATATTTACAAGTTTCGGCTTTTGTCCGTAGCACTTCTCAAGAGTCAGATTGTTCCGGAGGATTCCCTCGATGATCTTTTAAGCCCTTCCGACAACAAAGCAAAATGGGTGCTGAATTTTCCTGCAGACACAGCTTTTCCGCACGCCCTTTGGTTCCCCAAAGGCTGGAACCTTCAGTCTTCAGCTTATGGTTTTGCAATCACAAATCCAGCTTGAAGAAAACGTTGATGCACAGGTCATTCGCATCCGACCCTGTGATTTTATCGATGCCATTTCGAAAAACGGATTAAAACTTGAAGTTAACGACCTTCACGCCTCTTGGAGTGTTCCTCGCCTTAAAAGTAAAACCACGATTCCACCTTGGTTTTCTCAAGTTTTGCATTGCCGCGATCATCTTGAGTGCCCTGGGGATACCCCTATTTCGTGCATCACTCAGAAACCACTGTCTGAGTGGGTGAAATTGGATTTGGGCCAGATTCGTTCTTTCATCGCTCAGCCTGGCCTCAGGTTTATTGCTGCCAAAAAACGTTATAGGGTGCTTAGGCAGTCCATTCTTGACTTTGATAATGATCAGCTTCTGGGTTTTTCTCGGAGATCCCATGTGGTCAAGCCGACTGGACCATGGATTTTCGGTGTTTTTGCTGCCACAAAAGTATCAATTTCTCTTCTGGCCCGCGAAACTTAAAGTCTGGCTGCTCGTCTGTAACAGACATCTCTGAAGCTACCTACAGTGAATGGCTTTCCTCTCTTGATGCAACTTCCAGCACGTTAGACATGATCATCGCCAGTTTCCAGTGACTGAAACAGCACCTGTCTGTTCTTTCTGTCGTCCGACTACCTTATAATAAGGATCCTACTATTTAGGGTACTATATTAGGGTTCCCTGTTTTCGGAAACTCCCACATCCCGGAGGAAGCCACCAGTCCGGCTAAGTGATGCAGGAGGTCTTGTCCGTCAAGCCTTTCAACGTCAGAGAGGGAAGCCCTGAAGCCCAAAGCAACAAGCTCGTAACCCCTAGCCTCAGAGCCTTTTCTTCACGCAGGGAAGCCCTTCAAGCTGAGTTTCTGCATACAGAGTTGTGCTCTGGAGGAGGGTGCCGGCCTCGGAATTTCAAGACCACCGGATAGTGTAGTTTATCAGATACAACCATTTTAGCGGTAGTGGCAGAAACAATCGCAAGCATAAGGGGACAAGTTTGTGTGTGTGTATGTATGTATACATATGTATATGTATACATGTATATACATATATGTGTATATGTATATGTACCTATATATACATAATATGAACACAGTTTGTTTACATATAGATATATATATATATACATAATATGAACACAGTTTGTTTACATATTGGTTGCATTGGCAAAACCTGGAAACAACGGTAGTCTGAATACAATGAGTAAGGACTCAGACCAGCACTCAGGACCGGAACAGCACTATAGGGCTTGCAAGGCCGCAGAGTAATGCATCATACCACCATGAAAGGCCACCTCGTTGGATCGTCGTGACCAAAGCCGGCGTCGCCGTCATCATCAAGTTCGTCATCAGCAGCAGCATCATTATCATGATCATCATCAGCACAAGCAGCAACAGCCATAGCGACGAACAAAAACATCTTTAGGGTATCATAGCCACAGGATCCTATTCAGAGTATGTCCATCTCATCAGCACGGCCGTCATTAGCAGTATCCAACGATGCTGAGGTGCTGAAGTGAGCTCTAGCAGCAAACCTTTTGTCACGGCCCGACACTTGTGGGGCAGACATGACATGTACAGGGGGTCGAGTGGAGAGCTGTATTTTGTCACGGGGTTGCTCTGCTGCGCATTGTCTGGACGAAGCGCTTCGGTTTGGGTCTTAGGATGTCTGAGGAAAAGGTTTGGCTTGATTTTGAGGAACAGCTGCGGAGTTGCTTGAAAAGCTACTGTATCGGCGTGCCTGCGCAATGACCCTGGGCAGTAGCCTTTGTACTGTGATTCTACAGGTTTCATTAAATGCGCTAGCGCTGTCCGACTTCCGGCTTAGCAGTTTTGGAGTCCACCTGCCCGTGAGCTTGAAGTCAAGCCGAAAGTAACCCTCAAAGCAATGCTGTATCGAAGCTAAGACTGTGAGTCTGGGTTGGAACCAGGAATACACTATCTTCTCAACAAGTCTATTTCCATTGAAGAATATTGCAGCACAGCTCTGCAGCAAAAACCGTCTGCAACAGTATAGTAAAGGAGTCTCGAGCGACCCGGGCATGAACTAACTCGCCAAGACATGCAGCCGAGGTCAACACTGTGAGCAAACAGAAACAGACGGAGCTGGGCGACTGGCACCAGGACAGCTTCTCTGGGGCAAGATTTGAAGCCGTAATGCAGGAACCTGATTAAGTAACCTTAGGCCTTTACCTGGGTTCTCAATATGAATCCCACTGTTTTGGGGTTATAGGCCCAGGGTTTCTTAATCAGGTTCCTACATTAAATCAGCAGCCCTAAACTCTAGGCTCTAACTGTAAACGCTCAACGGTGATTTGCTGGGTTTCGAGGTGGGCATCCTTGCTCTTCTCTGTTTTGTTGTGGGTTTCGGCCGCTTCAGCGTGGCCTTGCCCCAATTCATGATTACGGTTGAGCGTTTAGGGTTTAGGGTTATGAATCATCCGTATCTTATTCTGTGGATCCTTAGTCAGTTTCCCGTGAAGCAGAGGCAGCTTGGCAAGATGTTGAATTTATGCTGCAGCGTCTTGTCCTCTAGAACGTGTTCCGGTCAGGAAGATGGCCGATGGTGGTTTCGAGAAACCTTGACCATGGAGGCATGGGATGGTTGAATCTGGTTGTACAGCCTTACTCTGCCATGCGCCGCACACGTCGTGACACGCTCACCGAGATAGCAGCAGAACAACACAGTTCTGGCATGTCATGGCGATATTTTCACGTCGCGGACTAACCGAACCTAGCCTCACTCAGTGAAAAAGTCATCGCATTGATCGCATGCGCCAGTACAGATAAGTTTGTTTCCTGAGCAGTCGTGCTAGTCTTGAAGGGCCTTCCCATCTGCGAGGGTCTTAGGAAGGTTAGTTTAAACAAAAGGCAATACCACACAGTAGGTAGACATGCAGGGAGAGAAAAGGGGAGAAGCCGAGGACATCTTGCCCAGTCACTATAGTTTGTGACTTCGAGGCATGCCGAAACCTGAAAGCTGTGACACAGGTCACTCCGGATGAGGAGGTGTGCATATCGGTTTCCTGCAGCTTGCCTATGCAGAGTTCGGGAATCGGAATGTCCGGGGTGTCAACGACTCGAAGTCGATATCATAGGAGGAATCAGAGTCAAGATGGGCTGAAGTGCAACCTTATGCAAATGTGGCGGCTTGAAGTTTGCTGGCCAAATGCTGTGAAGGAGCTGTGCTCGGGGTTCTCAATTTCGGGAGGAAGCGCGCTCATGTCCATGGAGCAACCGAAGTGCTGACTGGAGGCACAGAGGCAAAAGTCTTGTCCTGCAGAAATTGACCGAACAAGCAATATGAGGCTCCCTCCCCATACTCATCCTGTAATCATAGATGATACGGGAGTCCGACCCCACATCGGTATCCAACCGTTAACTCAACCCGCATCAAGCAACCTGATCCCGGGTGGTAGTCCTAACGTTGTCACGCTCGACCCAGGTAACCAGCAGGTCGATCTTCTGGTTGCCGCCTTGTCGCTAGCATCAAAGTGTGCCATAGCCCCGGGTATTGCCAATGGCTGTCCATTTGGCGCATTGCAGCCGTGAATTTGGCCGGTTGAAGGCCGTTCGAGAGTTTAGGGCAGACGTCGATTATGTCGGTAGTGAGTCACCGGCACCGTCCCTGGCGGCATCTTCATCAACAGCATTGTCATCATAAACAGCTACCCGCCACCATCAGCAGCGGCACTGCCACCAGCATGAGAGCGACTGGTGCACTTGCACTTTACGAGTGCTTTATTCTTGACACTGCTCCATTACTTGAACAACCTTACCTCTGGATGGTGGAGGGATCTTTTTTCAATACAGGCTGTTCGGTTTATGAGTGGCTCAAGGGGGATGGGGCAGGCTTTAATAATCAGAAGCCAACTCGCGAGTTGTGCTTTAGGCCCAGGTCGTTGAAAAGATCGATAAGTTTGCGATTGCTACGTGGACAAAAGGGAGCTGCGAATAGAAGCAGTGCGAGATACCACACGATGCCGCTTTCAATCATCGCACCAGCATGCTGCCTTATCCCGTTGACTCCGTATGTTCTTGTCTTCATACCAATGGCAGCAAACACAAAGTCTCTTCACATGGGCCTTAATAATTGCCTATACATTTTTTGTTTTTTTTTTTTTTGGGGGGGGGTCCTTACTATATCTCTAGTATACTAATACTAGGTCCCAAAACCCTATTGCAATTATTAAGGCCCCTACATCCCTAAATCCCTTATAGTACCCTCTATAGCATCCGTTATAGGAGCCCTTTCAAGGAACCCCATTTTAATTATGAAGGCCCCTATATTTTCTGTTGCGATCTGACTTCTGAGGTTGGCGAGGTCTGCGTACCGGTAGCCTCAGTTCCGAGCTGAGCCTCTGGGGTAGTTGTAAGTAGGGTTATAAGGGGTTTAGGGTTCCTTTAAGGGTTCTAAAGGGGGTAGGGTTAAGGGTTTAGAGTAGTTGTAGGTAGGGTTATAACTAGGGTAACTACACTTATAACCCATATTAGGGGACTTATAACTCCACTTATAACTACCCATGAACCTCCAAGTGTCTATGAGCAGAAGCAAGGGCGGCACACGTAAGTCCTTTGCACAACGCCGCTTCCCCCAAAAACATCAATATGCATGTGCGCATGCTGTCGCCTGAATTGCACGGATTTGGGAGGCTATCTAGTCAATCTAGTCTGCATTTCTGCACACTGTAAAGGGAGAAGCCTGGGTTTAAGACAGCACCCAACAGTTCGGACCCGAAAGTTCATGCAAAGCAAACGAACTTTCTGCTGCTTAGAGCATTTAGGTTTCTTGTTTCCTGCAGAGGTGCTGCCGCAGCTGCAGGTGGCCAGAGCCCCAGCAATCCGACTTGCACGATCCCCTGGTCTGAGAATCGACTTTGTATGATATCTTCCGGATTGATGAACCCTAAGCCCTAACAGAATGCGAGGCTGAAGGACTAGGGTTTTGCAACTCGCCTGCCCGCTTCAACCAAAGCTCCAGCTGCTGGGGGGCTTCCTCACACTCCCAGCCAGTTTGTGGATTTCAAGGGGAATCACCATACCCCTTCAACTCGCTCCCTGGTTCCTCTCTGCACGTCATCCTGGATCTCGGAGTCTCAATGCCTGGTAAGGAGGACCGAGATGTGGAGGGCATGATCTACGTGTGTCTGGCACGTCTTGCTATGTTGATTTGAGCCCAAAGACAATGATGTCAACTGCTTTACGAGAAAAGGTCGACGAAGCTAAGGTCACTACAGACAAAGACATGCAAGTCAGAATCTCCGTGCTGCCCTGCAGCTTGTTGTTGTTAGGGCTGGAGGCCAATTGCTGCAAAAAGACCATACTTGGAGGTTCAGGGGTAGTTATAAATGGGGTTATAAGTCCCTAAAAACTGGGTTATAAGTATAGTTACCCGACTTCTAACTCTACTTATAACTACCCATGAACCTCCAAGTAGCCATTCTCGGAAATAGTCAAGCGTAGTCTTTGCTTCAAGCTATCAACAGCCAGGTTGTTTGCAACACAGACTTCGCGAACACAACGCCAGGCGACGCCAAACATTGGCTTCGACGTGCTGAAAGAAGGCGTCAAGACAGGCAGGGAGCCTTTTTCAGGCCTTGGCTCGGACCGAGTTGGTTCCTCTAGGCCTGGGCAGAGCGCGCAAGAGTTCCGATTAATTAGAACGATCCAGGGATCTTGCAAGGAAGCCCTTACAAGAGCCATCTACTAGCTTAGGAGGTTTGGGGCTTAGAGTTCAGCGGCTCAGTGCCTAATTACAGGCTGAGGCTCAGGGGTTGCCGTGCTTGTGAATTCGAGCGTTTACATGGAAAGGGTAGTGTGGGATGGGCGCTTGTGTATTGGAGCGTCCATGGGGGAGGTCAGCCATTTCGAGCGTCTGCATGAGGGAATAGCGTGGATGTGCTGCCATGTGATGCCACTGATGCGTGCCTCTTTGGGCTGAGCATTCGTGGAGTGGTTTTGTTTTAGAAATCCTGGGCCTCAAGCTGAGCAACTCGGGTACCTTAATATAGGAGCCTGACTAATCACCAATACTGTGGTCGGGGTTCCGTTTTACAATTGTAGTATAATAGGCCCCAAAACCCTATTCTAATTCTTAAGGCCTCTATACCTTATGGATCCTTGTAGATCTCTTAAAAGGAATCCTTTAACAGGAACACTATTCTACAATTGTTGAGGCCCCTACATAAGATGTGCTCGCGTTTGGTAACAGCCCGGATCCTCACGAAGGCCGTGCATATCTGTCCTTTGAGACGAAGAATCCGCCTGCGAAGCAGTCGCTGGGAGGCGAGTCCTGGCCCGGCTACCCAGGGGGTTTAGGGCTTTAGGGTTCAGGGTTGAGGGTTTAGGGTTGAGGATTTAGGGTTGAGGGTTTAGGGGATTTGGGCTTTAGGGTTTAGGGCGGGAGGGCCAGCTTAGGGGTTTGCGGTTTAGGGGGTATTTAGGGCTTTAGGGTTTTTGGGGCAGCTTGAGGCTTGAGGTTTGGGGCTCAAGGTCCTAGAAGGGCTAGGTTTTTCTGACTTGCCATGAATTGTGGGTGGATCTGTCACCATTCTGGGTTGCACATGTTGCGCAAGATTTACGCCTAAGCTATATATGCCTGATGGGTCGGATGCACGAGGCAGTGAAGCTCGGGACGATGACATGCACACCACCTGGCAGCATCCTGCAGACACAACATATAAGGGGACAGACATTGCCAGCAGGGCAGAAAACAGCAAATCTGAGCTTCCGGGACCTTTCACCCGCATCTCGCAACTTTGGTTTCCCAACCGTTCCATCTCAGCACTTGGATACCAAAAGCCTAAACCTAAACTGAAACAAAGCCTTATCCAGGGTTGACCCCAACCATTCATGGCTAATGATTCTGCACCAGGGTCACCCGGAAGTACCCGTTAAGACAAGCTTGGCAGAATAAGTGCCCCTAGAGCTCAAAACAAAGCCACCTGAACGAGTCGCAAAGGTGTGCACTCAACAACTAGCCTGTGTCTGCCCGATGCTTGGCAACATGAGCTTTCCGAAAAGCCGAATGTTGTTCTTTACTACCGTCAGTGGTATGTTTTGTACTGAAGATGGTTAGCCCCGCTCTTGACATGGCGCGCCATAGCTTCTTGATTCATTGCCATTCTGACTGCTGCCAGTCATAAGGAATATAACTGTCGTCATCATCATCATCATCATCATCATCATCATCACGATCATCACAACATTGTCATCACCATCATCATCATGCTGTGTCATGTGCTGCTAGTTGCTGCTGTTATTCTTATGTGTTTTGTTGTTTCTGATGTGTACCTTTGCTTCGTGTTTTGTACTATACCTCTCCTGCTCTCCTGCTATACATCCACGACCCCCCACCACGACGACTTCTACTACGAAAACCGCTGCTAGAAGCTGCTCGTAGCTGTTTAGTGAGAGTGCGTGTCGTGAGGAGGATCTAGATACTGTAGCACTGTAGCACTAAGCAGATGGAAATCCAGCGTGCATTAAAACCAGTTTGGGCTAGGGTCATGCGATCAGACCATCAGACCGTCGTTAAGCAGATGGAAATTTAGCCAGAATTGACGCCAGTTTGGACTAGGGTCGTGCGAGCAGAGTGTCGTTGATGAGGCTTGAGAGGCGCTGTACTTGGATCAGGTGGCAGCGGTCGTCGGCGGTAGAGCAGCTGTAGATATCAGAAGCATGACACATCGGCCACATACTCTGAGGAGCACCGCGGCCTTTCCACCACGAAGCATGAGCTGAGAAGGTGGACACATGTGGTGCCTATGTCTCCAAAGATTTAAACCGGCGATGCAGCACGCCACACCCGCTCCACCACAAGCCGTGGACATATGTACTTGCTGTCGTCACTTTAGCATCGACATGAAGCTCCCGGGAAGTACATGTTTGATCCCAACTTTTCAGTCGCACATTTACAGGCAATGCTGCCGCATTCCCATGCTAATGAGCTAGGCCAGACAGAGTCATCGCTGCTGCGAGAGACCTGGGGCGCCGTGTGAAAAGCCGTTTGAACATGTGTGTTTGGGTAGCATTCATGTAGTCCATTCACCTCCAGACCTTGCCTCTACAACAGATCGTGTGATCAGCATGTTTCTGTCGGATCCCACAAGACAAAGTCCACAATGCCATGGGATTTGGGGTTGGAACACGATGCGGATTGATGCTCGAGCGTTTTATTCAAGTGGGGCCCAGACAGGAATCCATGGCCATGGAAGCAATCCCGGCCCATTACCCAGAAAGCAAGGCAGCTCCGAAGCTGCGTGACATTCTTCGACTTCAACGCCTTGGAAGGAGCAGACCATGAACACCGCAAGTCCCGATCCCCAAGCACGACACTTACCAACCTCCAGCCCCCAGATGGCCCAGAAGCACTGAATCCTAGGAAAGCTCCACGCCGTGTGTCCCCGCTCCACGCCACGCATGTGGCGCAGCTGTGAAGTGAGCAGCCATGGGCGGGATTGCCAGCAGCAAGCTGCCTCCAGTCAACGACAAAGACTTGAGGACTCTTGGGCAAGGCTTGTCGTTGAAGGAGGGCTTGAACCTCCACGGGGCTTTGGCTGTTGAGGTCACTTGGAGAGCCCAAGTGAGTTCTGCTTGATGTCAGCATTGGCATAGCTCAGGCATTCCCAGTCGACTCAGTGAACAGTTCCTGCCGGAGTCTGCCGCATATTCTCCTGCAGTCTTTCATACTGCACTTGGAGCAGGCAAACAAGCTGCATCTACCGACCGCAAGACTCGCAAACAGAAGCAAAAGAAGTATCGCGAATTTCAGAGGCCCCAGAGAGACCTTAGGGTTTAGGGTTTTGGGTTTAGAGAGATCCAGAGACCAGGAAGATGCAGGCCCGTGTCGGAGTAATTTGGCCAGGAAGGCACAGTCTCGTGACTTTGGTCATTGTGGTCCTCTATGTATATATATATATATATATATATATATGCTAGCCCCCCCCCAAGACCAACCCTGAATTCCCTAAATTCCTTAATTCCCTACCCATTGGATTTAGGTATTCCCTAAATTCCCTAAATTCCCTAATTTCCCTAAATTCCCTAAATTCCCTAATTCCCTACCCCATGTGTTGGATTTGGGGAAGTCCTAAATTCCCTAAATTCCCTAAGTCCTTACCCCATGTGTTGGATTTAGGTATTTCCCTAAATCTAAATTCCCTAAATTCCCTAATTCCCTACCCCATGTGTTGGATTTGGGGAATTCCCTATTTCCCTAAATTCCCGAAATTCCCTGAATTCCCTAAATTCCCTAAATTCCTTAAATTCCTTACATTCCCTAAATTCCCTAAGTGTGACCCCCATGGAGAAGATTCAATAGGTTTCCGTTCATGGGTAGGGAATTTAGGGAATTTAGGGAAACAGGGACTTCCCTAAATCCAACACATGGGGTAAGGACTTAGGGAATTTAGGGAATTTAGGGAATTTAAGGAATTTAGGGAATTTAGGGAAATAGGGAATTCCCCAAATCCAACACATGGGGTAGGGAATTAGGGAATTTAGGGAAATTAGGGAATTTAGGGAATTTAGGGAATTCCCTAAATCCAACACATGGTCCTGGCTGGGAGTCAGGAATGTTAGGGAATGCGCTAAAACCAACACATGGGGCTGGAAATTGGGGTATGTAAAGACTTTAGGGGTTTAGGGAGTCTGCAGGAACTCACGCATTCTGTAAATTCGATTCATGGAAGCAGTGATTAGAGAATTTAGGGAACTCGACCTCGCGACGTCGCCGGATGACGCGTCTGTGCAACTGATGCTTGTAGTAATATTGATATTATTTTGAAAACTTTGAAAACTATAATACTCGTACGAGTACAAATACTTATAGTAATACTACTGGTGAAACTGATAGTAATGCTAGTATGAATACTGATGTTCCCAAGAATACTTGAAATCATGTACAGTGTAAGAATAGTCTTGATGCGAATACGAATATACATACTATAGCTAGTATTATCGCTAGTATGAATATTGGCTATGCATATTCGTGAAATTACTCATTTTCGGAGTACTCATATTCATGCTAATATTAGCACTAAGGCTAGTGCGAACGTGCATAATAAAATGCTCATACATGAATGTTAGCATTCGTATTTATATCAGCATTGGTATGTTTTTCAGTAGTACTAGTAACTCATACGAAGAGTAACCTCAAGTTTCATATTCCGACGAATACCAACGCATGTTTTGTTCATACTAATTTTAATTCTACTACTAGTATCTACTCCTAATATTGAAAAAACTGTACCAATACCAATTTCAGAATTGATGTGAACGCGAACTTTAATGTTCTTGCCAATACTAATATGCATAGTAATATTAGTTAGCATTAATGTATAGGAAAGCTAATGTTCTTACGAATACTAATAATCATGTTCCCCTTTTATATTCATATAAGAATCGTCATGCCTAGATACGTACTAATGCTAGTACTCATGCTAATACGAGTATTAATACCAATACAAGCATAGGTATGAATATTCCTACGGGTATTTATGCTCATGTTCTTAACAAAATCATTCTCAGTACGAATACCGACATTAATAGTCTCTTTAGAACCATATTGATATTAATATGAGCACTAATACTTCGGCTAGTACGAACATGCATAATACTAGTAAAAATATTTGTGCTCATACAAATATAGAAAGATTATTACATACTCATATTAATATCAATACCAATATGAATTTACAAGCATCACATTAATGTCCATATCGTTTTTGTAATGTATACTAAAGAATACATCAGACTAAGGCACAAGAAAATGAATGCATCAGATTGTTAAAAACTCAATGTTTTCATTTACCAATATGTATGGTTATAGCATTACACTAATATACTAATAAATTAATATACTAATATACTGAGAAACTGATATACCAATAGACCATTGTTACTAATATACCAATATACGAGTATACCCAAAATACTTTTTCTTAATATATATGTTTTGTTTATATACCAATATACTGAATACACACATATGAATACTTATACACATAATGTACTAAGACTAAGTGTTTAAAGCCCAGCCCACGTCTAATATTAATACGAATACTAACACGAACACTAACACTAACACTAACACTGCTATAGACATATATTAAATTAAACTGGAGCACTAATACTCATATTAATATTAAGACTAACACTGACGTTGACACTGACACCAGCATCAGCACTAACAGGAACACTAATCAAACGAACAGTAAGATTGGACAGATACCAGCAGCATTGTTAGAACTTCCAAAATTAGTAATGACACAAAACTAATAGTAATGCTAACGCTAGCAAAAATATTAAGGTTACTATTCAGAATAATTGAGGTTAAAACTTAGAACAAAATTAAGTCAAGACCAATGTTAATACTGCTTTTTAAGACTGAAACTAAGAATAAGACTTTGACAAGATGACAATAATTAATAAAGGATGAGGCACACAAACTGGACTCTGTCTTTTACCACTCCGACAAGACGCGCCGAGAGTGTAAATGGTGTCCATAAAACTGGACCCTGTTTTTTACCAGTCCGTCAAGAGGCGTCGAGAGTGCAAACTTTGTACGGGAACACAAACACCATCGGTATTTACAGTGGTTTCGGCTCTTATTCATGACGTTGTGAAGACAGTAATGAGCAGGACAATGGCCGAGGTTGGTCCTGGGGGGGGGTTACCATATATATATATATATATATATATACATATACATATATATGTATAATATAACATACATATATACATATATACATATATACATATATACATATATACATATATACATATACATATATATATATATATATATATATATATGTACAATATAACATACATATATATAAATATATATATATAGATATATTTATATATATATATATGTATATATGGGCTCTATGGCTTGAATTTTTTGGGGTTTAGGCTACTTTAGGGTTGGAGTTGAGGGTCTAAGGATCTCAATCTTCAGTATCACGGCCTCCGCCTGGCCAGGACAGTGCTGTCATACAACATCAACGAGAACCACATCAGATCCGTGTACAAGCTCTTCACTGAGGCTTGGGGCATCTTGGGCATCGTTTTTGGGGGTCGCCGCCGGGTCGATGCAGAATGAGGGCGTTCTGCAGCGCCATTACAGGGCAAGGATTGATGGGGTACAGGGGATAAGTACACGCCACACTCCATAAGTTTTTGAAGCCCAGACTCTTTTGACGCTTACTCAGTAAGCCTCGTTGTTGTATTTAGCCTTGTTGAGGACTTCACAGCTAATTGCCCCGGCCCGCGCATGCGAGCTTTGCTGACGGTTGCAGATTGACGTGGACTCCAATGGCGTCTGGACCGTCAGCGAGATGTACAGAGTCCTGAAGGTTCGAGGGGTTGGACACATGTTTGGCCCGGGACCTACCATCGAGATCTTCGTTGCTTGCGCAGGAGCCAAGAATGTCGGTTCGTGCGCCTGTCATTGACACCATCTTCTTCATGGGTCGTTGCCTGAGCAAAACAGACAACATCAGGTTGACGGCTTGTCATGTCCGTGTGAACTGACTTCCCTGTATCCAAAGTACCTCTACGTGTGCGCTCCTTAATCAATGCACATGGCATATGAAACCTAAACTGTTCGGCCTGCAGCAAGTAACTGAAGGGTTCCCCGTACCAGCGACACCTACAAGGCTTCAGTCAAACCCGAGCTCCCTAAGTTGCACAATGTTCATAGGGCAGGGCTTTGCAAGTAGCCTGACTCTACCGTACAAGCTGCTGCCCTCCCTTTGGAGCACATGGGCGTCACTAGAGGTCTGGTTGAAGGCGGAGGATCTCGGAGAGAACACTTTTGCCCACTAAAGATCGGCTACTGAGCTACGGCTGTTGACTTTGTGAAAACCTTGGCATCTGGGAGGGTATGTGTGGTACGTGTGCATGGATGGATGGATGGATGGATGGATGGATGGATGGATGCGTATGCATGTATGCCTGTATGCAGGTATGCATATATTCACGTATGCAGGGATGCATGTATGCATGCATGTATGCGTAGAAATGCATTTCTCCATAAGCATCTACATATAGTTACACAGAGACATTCAGCTCGATTAAGAGCCCCACGCATACAGCATGCTGCAAACACTGCAGGTGACAGCAACAGCGAGGGAAGCATGACGTTTCAGGCCAGCTGGACCTTGCAAGCTTCGGGTTGGGTGTTGCAAGTCTGCTGCAGACTGTTGAAGTCGGGGTCGCATCTGAGCAAAGTTACTGCCATTGCCTCGATCGGCAATGGCATGGGATTTCGTCGTCGTTGTCCAGCTTAAGAGCTATGGTAATGAAGCTCGCAACAACCTGTTCTGTTTGAGAAAAGTAGACTCGGCCCGAGATTGAGCGCAACTGCACCATGAGAGTGTTTCAATTAAGCTCCATCTCAACAACCTGCTCCTCCCACCGCGGAGCAGGCAGGTGGTTAAGTGTCCCTCTCTGCGGGCTCCTATAGAGAAGCCCTAAGCTAAACCCTGACCTTGTGACGTTGTACAGGATTTCCTGGTAACAATGTGCTCCTTCTGTGCGCTCTCCAAGGAGGAGGCACGCTTGGGGCTGTTTCTTTAGGGCTCGTTTTTGTGGTCCAGGGTTATACGACAATATCCCGCAAAATCCCATTCAACCTATCAAGGCCCCCATATATCGCCGTGCGCAGACGGCCGCACGGCCCGCCGGCATGCTTAGCAATGGCGGTCCACAGCTTCTACTGGATACCCCACCTTGTAATGACTTCTGTAAGGAAGTCATAACACGGAGCCCTAAAAGGCAAGGAAGGGAAGGGTTTTAGGATTTTAGGGTCCTGGTAATGGTTAAAATTCGACGACCAAGGGCATATGCGGGGTCAGGTGGGTAAGGCAACCAGCCGGATGAGCCGTTCTGAGACCTGCTCAAGCTTGAAATCGCCCAAGGTCGCTAAAATCCGAAGCAGTCTATTCTGTCCCACGGCTTGGGCAGACAGAAGCGAGCCGGCCGTCCTAGGGTACAGCTTCTACATTAGGCCTCCGATGGCAGTGGCTCCGTGAGAGCAAATCTTGGTTGAGAGTCTTAAACCAGAACTTGCCTTAAGGGTCGTATATGTTCGTATATAGTGATGTACCATGCTTGCCAAGACAATGCGAAGCTCTTAGACAGCAAAGAAGCAATCACCTCGGAAAACTAATGATGCAATCCTGCACAACATGGGACCTGCCTTGTGACTTGGAGGAAAACCAAGACAAGTCATGTTTGAACTAGGTGCTTGTGAATACCACAAGTATGCTTACTATGTACCGTTTTCCGGTTCCACGCAAATGACAGACTCATCCTTTTATTATTGCAGGCCAAAGACAGCAGCACAGACGCACAGAGCAAGATCTGTGCACAGTATACTTGTGGACTCCCATCTCATGGCCGTGTCCTGTTGCAGATGCTCCAGTTCCTGTTCATGATCATTGACATTGACCGAAACGGTGCGCATCGGCCTTCTCGACTGCTCTTGACGGTCTGCAGTCCGTGTCCTCAATTGTTGATGCTCAGTGAGTGCCTGGAATCGAGTCTGCATGCGAGGTACCATCGAGAAAGAAGAGCTCTTGAACTTTTTCTCTTACATACCGGCTGGTTCAGATGAGGGCAGGAAGCTCGGTCAGCTGGCGAAGCAGTTGGAAACACTGCCAGTTCATCATGTGTTGGAAAGCCAGAGCCGCGACTTTGCAAGGAAGGCTTTTGTTGCTGTGCTTCTCCCTTCTAGTAAGTGTCGACGTCCTAATCGACAACCTCTAGGATCCGAGTTTCCTTGGTTGCATGTGTTTGTCAAGGTCGTGGCGAGCCTGTCTTCCCAGTGAACAACAAGAACGCACTGGACCTTCTTGCTCTCCTAACCGAGCAGTGCATGGAAGCCTGGGTTTCAGGCTAGTCCTTCACTGTAGCTCCCGCTTCTTTGAAATAAGGGGCCACTTCCAACCCTCAAGCCCAGACTATTTGGAATCCACCTCCCCCCTCAGAGCTCGGAGCATCCCAGATTTCCTTGGTTTGGGCTTGTGGGTGGCCTATACTGTATTTTTCCTGTGGAGTCAACCATGCTAGCGATTAGCGCACAGCCCCAGTCCTTAAGGCCCTACACCCCTAAACCCTAGACCCCAAGCCAAAGCTCGAGCCGCCTCATGGCGGAGGACAAGTTCCGAGGCGGCAAGTGGAGAAGTCGCACCTGCCCAGTTTCAGAGCTCCGACCCCCAAAGAGGGAGTTTGCGGAGTTTAGGATCTTGTGGATATAGTATACATCGTTCATTTTGGCGTTCGAAGGATTTCAACCCGCTGGGCTTATGAAATATTACTCTGTCATTACATGGCGGTACAGGGAGGATACTCGGCACTAACTTGATGGCGCCAGCGTCCCTACTCCCAAAGCCCGCAATGTCTTCTCGAAAGCAACAGGCTGTCCTCTATGGAGGGCAGCATTTGCATTCCCCCTGGAATGTTCTTCTTGGAGTCCACGACGCTTAATATAGGAGCCTCAGCGATTCGAAAAGCCATCGCTGCTGTAGCCGTTTCAGAAACACACCACAGAGAAGCCCTTGACAGTCTTCTAGTCTTTTTGGGACGTCCGCAACGTAGATCTTACATCTTACATTTCCCGACCTCGAACCTGAGCACCGTAGCCCATACCCCCAGAACTGACACCCCAAACTCTAACATCTGGATCACTAGACTATAAGCCCTGAAACTGCATACCATGAGCCCCTGCCCATATTCCTAAATTAAGGGGTATTGGGATCTCTGGGTGGTTCACTGGGATGGCAGGTCTCCAGTTTGATGGTCTTGCTCAGCTCTGTGAGCTCTTCCCGTGGCCCGGGAAAGCAGTCACTTTTGGGGATTTCGGATTTGGAGCTCCAGGGTTTAGGGATTTGGGTTTGGGTTTAGGGTTTAGGGGGGGGCTTCTTGGAGTATTTGGTGTCTTTATGGGTTTAGGGCTCCAGTTCAAACGTTGGGGAGACGGGGGTTCCATTCGTCGGGTGGGTAGGGCAGACGGGGTGCCGAGACTCGAAAATTCCTGGGTCTGGTGCAGACAATTCCCCAAACCCCAAATCTGTCAACTGCAGACCATTCAATGGGACGACCGACCCCGAAAGCTCCTCCAACACCCCCAAACCCCAAACCATAAATCCCCATGCTGCCTGCTTTTCGCTCCAAAGGTACATTGCATACCCTGCTTATCATACGCAGGAGCCAAATCCGGTTCTTTGGATCCTCTTCGAAGCTTCGGGTGATGTGTAGGTCGTAATCCACAAGACTTCCATGAAGTTGAAGCATGCACGCCGCTCGACAGGTGGCTTTGGGCTTGGGATTCAGGGAAGATAGAAACTTCGAATCCGCCAACAATACAGCATAGAGCGTGAAACATCCTGCTTCGCCTCTATGCCATCAGCTCCAGTAGCGTGCTAGTAGTCAGACGTGACTACAAGAGTTTTTATTTTGCCACGCAGTCTTTGAGAGGTGTCGCACGTGAAGGTGCCTTTTCCAGTAGCTGGTGTGCCGTATCCGATGCAACTCCTCAAGCGGGTTTGTCGCGGGACCGCTGGAACGTTTGAGAAGTGTGTCTCTGGCAGGACATGTATCGGAAGATCTTGCTTGGCAAGGCCAGAGCACTTTGAATGCTTTGAGTTCGGACATCTGGCTGTATCTAGATCCAGGAGCCGTCGATGATGTGTCGGAGGCCTCCTTAGGCTTGTTGCTGAGAGGCTACGCAATGCGAGGGGATCAGCTAAGCCTTCGGGACAGGAAGTTTTGAACAACACGGTCACACAGTTGCATTACCAGACGCTTATCAGGGTTTATATGGTTTCATTTAGGCTGCCTTGGACCCTGCAGGATATGCCTGAAAGATGTCCATAGCTTCAGGCTCTAACCTCCAACGCTACCAACATTGAAAAAATGGCCTTAACCTTTGCTTCTCACAGTGATGCTTGAGAACCCTGAGGCTATACCGCGGAGCCCCACACCCACAAGCTTAGATGTTCCAAAGCTTGAGCACCCCTTAAACCCTGAATCTTCAACCAGAAACGCACACCTCGAAAGCCTCACAACCCTAGGCGCCTTAAACCTTCAGCCCCAAACAGGGAAACCCGTAAACTCCTGAACTCCAACCCTCGGCCCTCAGCCCTTAGAAACCCTTCGAAGCACTTGCAGACCTTCTGGGAGCGGCTAGACTACGAGCGGATCAAGTACCAGACCGTGGTCAGGCCAGAGATTTGTCTGAGGTTCCAGGGTTTGCAGGTAGTTTCGGGCTTTATGGTTTTAGGGCTTTGAGGTTTTGGGATCTACTCTGCTTCTACTGCTTCTGCTCGTTTCGGCACTAGTCAGAGACAGGGTACTATCCAAGGACTCTGCGTAGTGTTAAAGACGTGCCTGCCAGCGTTGCTAGATGGAGTCCACGCATTTCGGCTTTTCGGTTGCTTCGATTTCAGTGCTTGGGGAGCATGCGCTCTAAGGTCTTGAGTTTAGGATTTAAATGGCCTTCAGGAGGACCAAACTATGTCCTTAGGGCTCCCTTAATTCACGACGGCCCGTACCTACTGTACATGAATTCTGTAGAGTAATCCCGAAACCCGTGTAGAACTCAGTTCACGTCGTGTCGCTCCAGCATTTCATAGCATTGGTCTGTAAAGTTGGTCGGATGGGGTTCTTCCAAAAAGTATACGGGGGTGTTAGTTCAATGATGCCTGTGCTTGGTTGGATCGTAGCCGTCGTACCATCCGAAATGGGAAGCCCGTCCTGCCGACGCCATATGACCAAATTATCCATCGTTTCGGCGACCTACTGATGCTCCGAAATCCTGAAGCCCACAACCTGAAGCCCTACAATCCTACCGCCTAAAGCCGCCCTACAAATACGAAAAGGACATTCAATCCTAAACCCTCAAATGCATGAAGCTGGAATATGCAGAGGACGAAGCGGGTCCGGATGCCCTTCACCAAGAAGAAGATCGAGGCAGGTGCTTCGGTTCGTTGCCGGCATTGGGCTCCCTACACTTGGGACAAGAGGGTTTGATGTTTCACTTATTGTTTGAGCTTAGTGCTGTTTGCTAAGGCTTTTTTTTCGGACAGTTTGTAGCCAGACTGACGATGATTACAACGAGAATAGTCATCGTTACAATAAAGGTGGTGAACACACGGACCATAGTTAGACCAGTAACGGTATCAGCTAGCACAAGATCTGGAAAAGCCAGTGTTGCAACACCATGACAGTACCTGGCTACTACTAGCTAGCGTTGTAAGCACAGTCATAAGAAGGGTATATAATGGTAATGGCAACAGTCAGGCTAGTAGAAAACCAAAATAGCTCCCCGCCAGTGCCAGATCTGGGCCAGCATGAAAAGCACTGGCATCAAGAAGAAGCCTGAAACCATGGCTAGTCAGAAGAAGGCCAAGGCGGCATGGCTCTATAGACTTAGAAACCCTTATGGAGCCCTAAACCCTTAGACCCCCAAAACGCCGTAATACTCTCATGAATCTTCTATGGAGCCCTTATGAGCACCCTAAAAAAATCTGTAATACTCTAATGAATCCTCTATGGAGCCCTTATGAGCAACAAAGTGAGAAAGCAGACAGGTGAAGCTACCCGGCCGCTGTACAATGCAGGACCTCCGAAACTACCGTCGATGATACAAATCCTGCATCACCCATAGTAAGGAACATAGGAATATATATAGCATAATTTCCATAGTTTAGGGGCATTAAGGTAATGCAGGATTTAAATCATCAACCGTGCTATCATCATGAAGATATGTTGTCAAAATTATGGCCCCTTTTTTGGGTACCCTAAACATCAGGTGCCGCATTATATTAGGGACCCCAAAGGGGACCCTAATCTGACAACCACCCATGAGGGGATGTTGAGGGCTTTTGTACGGGTGCCGAAGGTTTCCGGAAAGGGTTCCATCAAGAGTTTGTAAGTACCGCAAGTATTGAGGTTTCGGTCGGTGATTGCGGTGGTTTAGGGGAGTGCAGGCTTTAGGCGAGGTCGCATTTTACGCGAAGGCCAGGTTTTTAGGGGAGCCAAGGGGGGTTTGGGTTTTCGGGGTTGTAGTTACAGGTGCTGCGGAACATGGAAATGGTGCGAGTGTGGAAGTCGTAGACCAACAGCAGTGGCATTCCTAGACCAATGCCCCTGCAGGAGCTTTTGGAATACTCGCGGAGGAACACCGCCGTGCAGGGAGGCAAGCAGAGCACCCAGCTTTGGAGTTGCAAGGTGCAGCTCGAGGGCTTGTAGGCTCAGTGTACTGCGGGTGTTGACTTCGAAACTAATATTCTGCAGATTTGTGGTGTACGGTGACACTCAGATTTCGGGATTTCAGATTTAAGCCTTCAGATTTAGATGTTCATCTACACTGGGCGCGTCAGCAACGTAGCTTTTATGACGCGTGGCTGCAGCTACGGAGAGCGGCGTGAGGCACATACGCCAGACCTCAAAAACCGAACACTGTCGGAGCTGAAACGCGCTGTCAGCGAAAGTGCGAGCTCTGGGGCACTGCAGTGTCTCTTGTTGCATTTGGCTGAGTTCGAGGTTCAATTTCTGACGCAGAAGCTAAACTCCCTCGAAGCCCAAGCCGAAATGGAGAAATACAAGCTCATGCATAGGCCTTGCAAAACAGCATCCGATCCTTGAAAGCCTTATCTGGCTAAGGCGCGTGACGTCCCAGGATGCTGGAGAGGCAGGTTTTGTCAGAGACTTCTTGCTCTCCCCAATCCGACGGCTACAGCATCCTGCATGTCTGTGCTACTGTACCATGCGAAACTTTATTCGACGGCCTTTCAGTTTAGAAATCGCAGCCCCTTCTTAGTTCGCTTCAACCAGCTCGGATAGTTTTGGAGTTCGGACGTCCATATCTTCATAAATGTTAGGATTGGAGCTCCGTGCTTGGAATCCTCTGCGGCCTTGACTTGTGCTTGCAGTTTCAGACGTCGGTGGTGAGATCCCGTCAGCTAGGTCTTCCGAGTAGGTTTGCCGAAGCGAGCCAACAAATGAATTGCAGGAAGAGACTCAAAGCAAGACACATAGATGTAGAAAGAGTAACAGTGGCAAAGTCTGAAGAATTCAGAATCGATGCCTCTGAACCCCAAAGCGCGGGATCCAAAAACTCGAATCTTTGGACCCCAAGGGTTGCAAGCCCAACCATGCCAGAAGAGTTAGAATATGCCTCTTCCCAGTTAAGATCAACAGCCCACTCAACAGTCCAGTGATGGCATTCCGAACAGGCTTCTTACAGTCTACATATGGAAACATCCTAACGTCAATGCGGAAGTGGCACATGCTCCACTACTTATTCCATGAACTTACCCCCGCCCTGGACAGTGTATACTGGGGTCGTAACGAGTGCTTCCCCAGAAGCTCTAATTAGGCCGTGGCATTTACCATGAGGTCACCTGGGCTACTGAAGGAACCCAATCCTGCTTCCCTAGACGAAACTGAACCGAAGCCTACCTCGAAAGACTTTTCCTGTAAAGGCGGAGTCCGCATTGGCCAAGGACTGTGTCGAAAGTTAGGTTTTGCCGGAGCCGCAGGTTTAGGGTCTAGAGCCTGAGGGTTGAGGATTTAGGTTGTAGGGTTTAGGCTTTAGGTTTTGGGGCTTCGCGGTTGAAACTCTTTAATTTGATGTTGTGGGTTTCTGCGGAAGGCTGCGGTGCCTCAGGGCTGTATGCAGCCAGGCTATATACCCACAAACGTTGCGAAGGTTCTGCTCCCGAACTCAGCAGTCGATGCTGCTTGCAGTGCCCCAGTGTGCAGCAAAGTGTCGCTGCAAAGCACGGTCGATCAGGCTTGGCGCGGGCATCCAGCCATTTTGCTCTATGGAGGGCCAGAAGAGTTCTGCTGCTTTCAGTCTGCGTTGCATCCGTCTTAAGCATTACCATGACTATACTGACTGTACTCATGATGTGATTACCAATTAGCTGCGACATTTGCAGGATGACCACCTTCAATGTCAATTGCATTCCTGCTCTATCCGTAGCGGAATTTGACAACTCTGCAGGCACCCCGGAAAAAAAGTGTTCGCAAACCCACTTGGGAAGTCAAACAGTGGGTTCCGACACGAAAAAACGCCAAAACTCATAAACCTTGTCTTGTCCATGGTATGCGCGAGCCTCGTAGCAGTTTGCAAGCTGATTCTGCCGTCCGATGGCAGGAGCGAGATATGCAGATTCAGCGCAGTCCCATCTTGATCCTTGCCTTGACTGGTGCAGATGTTTGCTGTGAATCGTCGGAAGTGCATTCACGACATTTTCGGCGCTGCGGCTTTTCCGGACTAGTTGCTACACCGTTCTCGGGACTCCGTGCGCGTCTGCAAGTAGTAGCAACCACAAGACCCTTGCAAACGACCTTGTCTAGCTCTTGCTTCTTTTGATCCAGCGGTGGCCTCAGGAACATGATCCGCAATCCTCGGTGCATGTGCCTTGCCCGGGAGGGTAGCCGAAGCGAATGAGCTCCGCGAGACCTCTAGTCTAGGCTATAGCCGTTGGCTCATGCATAACTCCGGATGCATGCTGGGAAGGTACTACATTCCCCAGGAGGGCGGCAAGAACATCCAGAAGCAGAAAGGGTGCGCTGTCGCGTTGTCATGAAATGTTCATGCGAAGCTTTACGAAACTTGCGGAACTTTGTCGTTCTTCCACGCCTGGTGAACGATCTGCACTCGACTCGAGGATGGAAGTCTGGTTTGTGTGCCTTGTCATCTCCACCGCGTCACATTCCTCCAAGCATCAGTCACCTTCCGGAAGGAGCCCCAATTCGGAAAATTCATGCAGAGCTGCAAGTTCCAGTGAACACTCTATCATATTATGTCCTTATTATGGGCTTTAAGGCCTATACCCCGCCTCCCCCCTACCCCCCTAAGGGTCCCTATGACTCCAGATCCCCGGGTTCGAATCGCATTTATGGCCCCTTGGCCAGGCACCGGTCTGAGCTGGATGTGGGTGAGCAGGATGTGGAAAGCACGATGCTCAACAGCTGAGAGATGCAGAGGGGCTTTAATAATGATTACCTGTACTACTTTGGGGGGTTTTCTTATTCAAAGTATGAGACTATGTAGGGGCTTTAATAATAAGTACCTGTACTACTTTGGGGTTTTTTCCTTATTCAAACTGTGGTATAATGGGCCCCAGAACCCTATTCTAATTTTCAAGGCCCTTATATTATGCATGTCAGTGCCACGATGACTTCCAGTAAGACAACGACGACGGCAATTCAACTGCAACACTGCTATCACGATTATTCTCAGTACTGCTGCCGCATTCCTCCTCCTAGTTTTTGCTACCACCACCACTACTATCTCTGCTGCCACCACCCACCACCATTACCCCTACCGCTGCGACGGCGACTAAATCTGCTCCTCCTGCTGCTACCACCACTACTGCTGTTGACTACTGCTATGTGCTACTGCTGCCGCTACGGCCACTGCCACTGCTACTGCTACTGCTACTGCTGCTACTCCTACTACTACTCCTGCTGCTACTACAACTACTACTGCTTTGCCACAGCACCACCAGCAGCGCTGCTGCTGCTGCTGCTGCTGCTGCTGCTGTTGCTACTACACTCACTAACTGATACTGGTACCAGGTGACGACGGCGCCGAGATGGACCAGGGTGGCAGTGATACCGGGGGAGGCGCGTTGCAACTTGAGTGGAGCAGTTTGGCAGATTTGTTGAGGAATTTGCATCTTTCGCGCACCCAGGTGCACGATAGCTGCAACATCGGTCAAGGCTTGTGCGCTCTGCAGGCGTCATCACCGGCGCCCCTAACAATGCCGAGCACATGCTGGCCATTGTGACGGCGTAGACCTGACTAGATTTGACCACTCCGATTTGGCGAAGCTGAACCACCACGACTGGATGACTGCCCATGTGACCAAGTATGTGTGTGTACTAGTAACATAAGTATCACGAAGGCTCGAAGCAGAGCTGCTACACAGTGGATCACATGAGCAGTTGGCCCCGCTTCGAAACGCTGTTGCACGTGTAGCTCATCGAACTGACGCAAATAGGTTGAATCACACCCGCACGACAGGATGCAGATGAAGCAGAACGAAAAGACAGTTGTGGACGACCTCGATGACGACGATGACTATGAAGGCACAACCTGAGCAATTCTTACATTCCTGGTCCTTGATGCTAAGGAAGTCGGATAGCTACACGATCAAAGTATGGTTTCTCGGCACTGTCGTGTTGTGTTGCAGAAGTTGAGACTGCGTACAAGTTTTCGCAGGCGGGGACGATGTTCGCAAGTTCTCCTGCATTTTTCAAGCTGAGAGGTGCTCTTTACACGCTGACCAGCAACAAGACAGCTTCATGACTCCCCTCTTGCTGCCTCAAACAGCAGCCATGTATTGTGGCACAGGTGTAGGACAAGAGACGCAATTTTTTATATCATTGATGCCCTGCAGGCTCCGACAGCGACGTTCTCTCGGACTGCACATTGGGGGGGGAACGTTCGCTCAAAGTAGAAATTCGGGGCTGGTGTCCAGTACCATCGCGTTTGAATCAGGATTATTTGGCACTTCCGACTTTGCACATTGACCCCGGGCTTCGGTGTCCGAACCTCTTCTTCCGCGCGTCTCTTTGCATTCATTGCGCCCAGCAGGATGACTCTCGGTGACTTGCGCCTGAGCGGATAGTGCCTGGTTGACGCACCGTCGACCCAAACTATGCATGTACGCTGCTGCGCAGCAAGTCACGTAGTTCTGAAGCATCGCAGAAGTGCGAGCGGCTCTTGTTGGCTAAGCCACGACGTACCAGAGCTGGGGGGAGAGAGCGAGAAAGGTGCGTGCCTCTCAGATCTTCCGGGCATTTGCCACACTGCTTCATGTCACTTGTGGGTTTAGGGGTTGGGGGTGGGGACGTCGGTTTCGTAAGTCTCGCTGCTTCTTGCACTGCCTTTCTGGGGCAATCTTGTTCTGGTGCCTTGCCATGCACGAGCTTTATTACAGATGTCGAACAAGCCGCGGTAAGCCCAGGTAACCGATTCACTTCACTGTCCTGGTGTTTCCGCATTGACTTACCCATTCAGACTGAGCCCACTTGTCTTGCACGTGATGGAGATTTAGGCGAGCGCCAAAGAAGAACAGGAGACGGTAGTGCTGCAGGGCTCAGCATTAGCCTCCTGATTTATGGATGTGCACGCAAAGATGTGGAAGATGCATAGTATCAAGTCTAAGTCAACAGCTAGTTGTTGCAAGAAACCCGGAAGTCCTGAATCGTTGAGGCGCTTGTTAATGCCTCTGAAGGGTCTCCTGGAGGACTGTTGGGGTTTTCCCATCGGACAGTACTGCAACAAGAATGCTGGGGGTGATGACCTCACCTTCAGCATCTTCATGTCAAGAAGAATATTTCCAAAACAGTCAGCTACCGCTAGGACTCGCCTGCTCCTCATGGACCTGTGACTAAGCCGGATGGAGAGGCATTCAACCCAGGGCACACGGAAACGTCGCTGCAGCGTTTGCGTGAGTTTCGGAGTTCTGCGCCCTGCCCTATCCGCGACACCATGGCGCGAAGCTTGCTCTTTCCTGTGCTTCTGGCCACAGCCTGAGATGGACTTAGATGTCATCCTTTCTGACTTGAAATAGGGGTCTTCTCGGTTTTTCTGGACCTGGGAGAATCCGCGGACTAGGCCGTACGGCACACATGAGAGACCAAAACGGCTACGACTATGAACAACAACAACAACATCAACAACAACAACAACAACAACAACCGCAGCGGACATTGGAACCCCAAGCACGGCTAGTTCGCATTGAGGTGCACACCTATCCTCAAATCAACCAGTCTCCACGCAGTGACAGTGCTTTAGAGGAAGCCACCGTATCCTCTAATTCCTGATCAGTAGATCTACAACTTGCAGCATATTCCGCACACTTCAACAATCCTGTTTGCCAGCCGTTCTGGGAGGTGGCTGACCGAGCCACTATCCTGTTGTTCCTTTTGCTGTAGTTGCTGTGCTCACAAGTTTGGGGACTTACACCCACGGAGTACAGCCCATGCTGCGCAGCTTGCGAGCGCTTTCATCGGTGCCCTGCACTTCTTCACTCCCGCCTTCGTGGGGGCCGGGGACTGAATAATCGAACGGGGCTTCACAAGGGTTTTAGCCGGGTTTCCCACAAGAGCAGTTGGGGATAAGAATCAAGGCTGTTGTTCATGGCAGCAAAAGTCCAAAGTTTCAAAGGTTTTGGATCATTCTGTCTGCATTCAGCCGAATTTCAGGCTTGGCTGATTAGAGTCGGTTTGTACAGTCAAGGAAGAACTGCACTGTTTCTGACCCGGCTGAGATTTCCATCCCCGAATGCCTTGATTCCTTTACACCCGGTTCTCAGGGCTGCATTCCATGCACAGCGATGTGGCAGCAGCCAGTGAGACTATGCCCAAGGAGCCTAAAAGCGGCCTAAACCCTAAAAACCCCCAATGCTGCACCTCCTGGATGCAGGTCCCTTCCCAAGCGCCTCGTGCGAGCAGCTCGGGTCTCAGTGCCCAGTAGGGTATGCATCGACTTTACCAAAGTAGGATTTAAGGCCTTTTAAGGTTTAGGGGTCCTCTATAGTCGAAGAACGTGCACGTTATTGATGACAGAATGAATAATTTTGTATGGTCGTATGCCCAATTCCTTCGATGTGCATGCACATACCCAAATGTGGGGTAAATTCAGGCCATGAGTTTGAACTTCATAAGCCTTCACAGGAGATGTTCACTCATACTATTGTAACTCCGAGTCGGGGTTTGGTTTTAATGTCGTCAGCTGTCATAATGGCACACTAGCTACACACACACACACTCACTCTGTAAGCCCGCACTTGCCTCCCAGGGTCATGGGCTGGCAACACCTATCAATACAGCTGTGCGAGCGATGGCAATAAGAAGACTAATGGTGATCACTTTTTGTTTGTTTTACTTATTTGTTTCAATTTAGAACTGGTTTATGCGGGATCCGGGTGGACTCTTCCGATGCTTCCAACGAGAAGCCGCACCGAGCGTCCTTGATCAAAAGGACGTTCAGGGTTTCGGGTCCGGGGATAACCCTGCCTTTTCTGCTACTGTTCAGGAGACAGGTGCTTGGTCTGTAGCTCCCTTTCTGTAGCCTGGAGCGAGAGCCAGATGTCTGGGGCGACTCTGGGAAGCCTTGCACAGAGGCTCTCGTGTCGTTGCCTATGCCGCCAGCATCTCAGAAGCAGTGCGGAGTTGCAGATGCCGCACACCTCCTAGGCAGCATTTAGTCACCTCTTTGGTCGCTTGAAAGCCATTCGGGCATGATTGCCGGCATGCCCGGGCAAGGATGATCCTTTGGACTTCGTTGCGAGCACTGGGAAGAGGATGGGTGCTCCATGGTACCTGCATTTGCGCAACATGGGCCGGCGATTAGCCATCAGCCTCTTATACTACTTTGTTTGGTGTCTCGCTGTCTGGAAAGAGCAGCAGTTAGGGCCGCTGGTCAGCACGCCTTCAATAAGTGTTGGCTTCTGTCACTGCTTCTGTCCCTGCCGTCATGTCATGAGGTCACTGTGCCTATTTGACACCTCACGCCGATTTATATCAGTACCTACATGGTTCATACCAAATTACACGATCATGGCATGACAGAGGTGAGCCCAGCTAAGTTTCTGACGTGCAAGCATCCTCCAAAGCTGCTGTGCAGGATGGAAGCAAACAGTGAGAACGAGCAGCTGGTCGACCTGGTTCCTCAGATGCACGCTTATTCTTTAAAAAAGCGTTTCCGGCGTCCACATGTGGAAAATTCCCATGTCCGACATGCTTGCCAAAATCTTGGGATTCAGCTGTGTGGCCTCATGAGTTGCTGTTGACGAAATGCTGTCATTCAATGTTCACTTGAGAGTGGTCACTGGCGCGAACACATTCTGGAAATAGTCAAGCACCATTTATTGAGAACGACCATTGAAGAACCACCAAAGTTGCCATTGAGGATGGACTGTGGGCCATTTTCTTCCTTGTGGCAGGAGCACCTTTGTTGCATTGAGTGGAGGCGGCTCTAGGGTAGACTTCAGGGCTTGGGATTTGGAGGACATTAAGCGGTAGGAAAGGTACATGTGAAGTTCGAAGAACTACACTGCTACACAATGCACTGTGGATGTTGGGCAATTTGGTGGCTTTACTGCAGCATGGACAGTGCAGTTCACAAGGTAACAACGAGACCGAACTCTGTGGAACAAGATGATGTTTCAGAGCCAACACTTATATGTAGGTTACTTATTTATACATATACATATATGTATATACGCTACATATATATATATATATATACATATATATATATATATATATATATGTATATATAAACACACACACACACACACTCGCTTTCAGAATATTTTGGCGCTCAATACCAGCAGCAGGCGAGATGGGCAGCTATGCATCCTGAACCCTGAGCCACCTCGACCGAAGCACTGCAGCTGAGATTGGCGCCACCGCCCTCTTCATGAACCTGCTCCAGGGTCTGAGGCATGGACTCTAGGGTGTAGGGGTTTAGGGTTTAGGGGTTTAGGGTACATTCGGTGATGGTGGTTCGCTTGCGTCAACGACGGCCTCGATGTTCTTTAATTATGTGGGTTGGATGATGCGTATGTTTGCATGAAAGCGTTTGTGCACCGGTATACTTACGTACGTACGTATGCATGTATGTATGACATATACACACCTGCATATATGCGCATATTCATAAGAATATAGAAAACATATGTGGCTATCCCTCCAAACACCAGTAAAAACCTAACGTTTCGAGTCTAAGACAGCCAAAACAGAGGGTCCGAACAGAACGAAATCGGAGCTGCCGGTCCTTACTGCAACCGAAGCTTCCAAACATTTCGTTTATGTATGTTGTCTTACCTAATATTTATAGTCTGTTTATGGTGCAAAATACAAAGTATATAATATGGCTCTCAGTGGAGCCACTTGTAAGGAATAAAGGTGCCGACACTATGCAGATGTATGAAAGCAAGATTGAAATATGTGGAATATCGGAGTTATAGGTTTGTTAAAAATGGAAACCAGTATGGAATGTGCGAGTTTCGGAGAAGATTGCAATTATGGAATTGAAAACGTGTGGAAATCCACGAAGTGAAAACACGAACATCCGGAAGTCAAAGCACTACAACTGTGGGGTTCATGAGGGTGGTAACTGGTAGCAGCCGGGTAGCATATATCATGTGTATGTATATATATATATATATATATATATATATATACATACAATGTTTGTGCTTACATGTTGAGAGCGTATTATTGTTAACATCGTGTTGTTTTTGCAGTTTTGTTTGAGTCTGTTTTCAATAAATATGTATACATGAATGAGCATAGCGATATGCCAGTGTGCGGACATATATACAGAGATGTGCATCATTCATGCATATGCCAAGTCTATGTGCCTGCTAGTCATGACACGTGGCTACAGGGCGCATAGTTAGGGCTCTCGCGTTGGAAGTGGCTTCGGGTTCTCTATTCGCATGCGCCTTTGCCAAACTCTTCCAAGGTCTGGCTAGTCATGTCAAGCCGCACAGAATTAGGATGAAGTGCACCCCCCAGAAGTTGGAAGGGTGTGAAATGCTCGTTCTGATCGATTTTCAATCTACTGAGTCTGGAGTTAATGGTGTCGGTGAA